GCTCAGCAGCTAATGATAAGTCAATACATGCCATCAGCAATGTCCTAATATCTCTATGCTTCAGTTTTGCCTGAACTATCTTTTGGATCTAGTCATTTGTGAGCAAATCGATAGCTTCTAATTAATGATGGCTTGGGAGGCTCAAATCTCTCCATCTTTAGTAATCTGAGGTTCCTTGGGCCCCTGTGGTGGCTTGAATAAGAAGAATGGCCCCCATAGGTTCATATATTGAAATGCTCAGGGAGTGGCATTATCAGGAGATGTGGTCTTGTTGGAGTATGCGTGGCCTTATTGGAGGAAGTGTGTCACTAGGGGTGGGCTTTGAAGTTTGAGAAGCCCAAGCCAATCCCAGTCTCCGTCTCTTCCCGCTGCCTGCAAATCCAGATGTAGAACTCTCAGCTTCTTCTCCAGAGCCATGTCTGATCACGTTCCATCATGCTGTCCAGCATGATAAAAATGAACTAAACCTCTGAAACTGTAGGCAGGCCCCAATTAAATGCTTTCTTTTATAAGAATTGCCATGGTCATGATGTCTCTTCACAACAATAGAACATTGACTAAGACGGTCCCTCTCCTGTCCCCTTCCTTCTTACCAGCTCTTTTCTTTGGGTTTATCTACGATACCTCTTTGTTCAGTGATCCCCCTTTGTTGCACCGACTGACCCGGAATCCAGTCTTAAGCCTCATTGTGCTATACTTTCCGTGGATGACAGTTTTGTACCTACGAACAACACTACATTTGGCACAATAGAATGCCATATTCATCTCAAACCAATTCAACAAACATATGCTAAGTATCTTTGACTAGCCTGTTAGGGAAAACTAATTGATAGGGAAAGTTATTCTCCTTGAGATGGAGGTAGCAGCAGGAGAAGGCAGGAAACTAATGGGGAAACAAAATCAGTACAGAAGCCTGGGGCAGGAGAGAACTCTGCAGACTAGAGGTGCTTCCTGAGAAAATACAACACAGCTCTCCTCTCTGAAATGCATGGATACAGAAGCCTGGAGAATTCAGCTTAATAAGGGGGTTGGATGCACATGGCTGGCTTCCAACTGTGAAAAGGATGAGCTGGAGAAGGAAGTCTGTGGTGTTGCAATCTCTGACATAGGTCTAGCAGAGAAGACAGGAAAGAAGAATTTACATCCACAGTCAAAGTCAAGCTCCTTCCCCTTCCTCTCCCCCTCTCTGAGGGAGCTGGGACAGCCTTGCCAGGCCACAGAGGAAAACAATGCAGCCAGTCCTGATGAAACCTGATAGGCTAGGGTCAGAGGGGAGGGGAGGAGGACCTCCCCTATCAGGGGACTGGGGGAGGGACATGGGAGGAGAAGAGGGAGGGAGGGCAGGATTGGGAAGGGACATGGAAGGGGGCTACAGCTTGGATACAACGTGAATAAATTGTAATAAATAAATAAATAAATAATTTTTTTAATTTTTTATTAATTACACTTTATTCATTTTGTATCCCCCCATAAGCCCCTCCCTCCTCCCCTCCTGATCCCACCCTCCCTCCCCTTTCTGCATGCATGTCACTCCCCAAGTCCACTGATAGGGGACATTCTCCTCTTCTTTCTGATCTTAGTCTATCAGTTCTCATCAAAAGTGGCTGCATTGTCCTCTACTGTGGCCTGGTAAGGCTGCTCCCCCCTCAGGGGGAAGTGATCAACGAGCAGGCCAATCAGATTATGTCAGAGGCAGTCCCTCCTCCCATTACTATGTAACCCACTTGGACACTGAACTGCCATGGGCTACACCTGTGCAGGGGTTCCAGGTCATCTCCACGAATAGTCCTTGGTTGGAGTATGATTTTCTGGGAAGTTCCCTGTGTTCAAATTATCTTGTTCTGTTGCTCTCCTTGTGGAGTTCCCGTCCCCTCCAGCTCTTACTATTTCCCACTTCTTACATAGAATTCCATTCACTCTGCCCATCAGTTGGCCATCAGGCTCAGCATCTGCTTTGACAGTCTATACTGCAGAAGCTTTCCGAGGTCCTCTGTGGCAGGTTTCAAGGTTGTTTCCTGTTTTCTTCTGGCTTTCAGAGGCCCTCTGTAGCAGGTTCCAAGGTTGTTTCCTATTTTCTTTTTCTTCTGATGTCCATCCTCTTTGCCTTTCAGGATGGGGATTGAACATTTTAGCTAGGGTCCTCTCTTTTGCTTAGTTTGTTTAGATGTACAGATTTTAGTGGGTTAATTTATATTGTATGTTTATATGAGTGAGTATATACCATGTGTGTCTTTTTGCTTCTGGGACAACTCACTCAGGATGATCCTTTCCAGGTCCCACCATTTACCTGCAAATTTCATGATTTCCTTATTTTTCATTGCTGAGTAATACTCCATTGTATAGATGTACCACAGTTTCTGCATCCATTTTTCAGTTGAGGGGTATCTGGGTTGTTTCCAGCTTCTGGCTATTACAAATAAAGCTGCTACAAACATGGTTGAGCAAATGTCCTTTTTGTGTACATGCGCCTCTTTTGGGTATATGCCTAGGAGTGGTATGGCTGGATCTTGAGGAAGCGCTATTCCTAGTTGTCTGAGAAAGCGCCAGATTGATTTCCAGAGTGGTTGTACCAGTTTACATTCCCACCAGCAGTGGAGAAGGGTTCCCTTTTCTCCACAACCTCTCCAGCATGTGTTGTCCCTTGAGTTTTTCATCTTGGCCATTCTGATGGGTGTAAGGTGAAATCTCAGGGTTGTTTTGATTTGCATTTCCCTAATGGCTAATGAGGTTGAGCATTTCTTTAAGTGCTTCTCTGCCATTCGATATTCCTCTGCAGAGAATTCTCTCTTTAGCTCTGTTCCCCATTTTTTAAGTGGATTACTTGGTTTGTTGCTTTTCAGCTTGTTTAGTTCTTTATATATATTGGATATGAGTCCTCTGTCAGATAAAGGGTTGGTGATGATTCTTTCCCAATCTGTAGGCAGTCGCTTTGTTTTAATGATGGTGTCCTTTGCTTTACAGAAGCTTTTCAATTTCATGAGGTCCCATTTATTGATTGTTGCTCTTAGAGCCTGTGCTGTTGGTGTTCTGTTCAGGAAGTTTTCTCCTGTACCAATGAGTTCTAGGGTATTCCCCACTTTTTTTTCTAGCCGATTTAATGTGTCTGGTTTTATGTTGAGGTCTTTGATCCACTTGCACTTCAGTTTTGTGCAGGGTGATAAGTATGGATCTATTTTCATTTTTCTACATGTGGACATCCAGTTGGACCAGCACCGTTTGTTGAAGATGCTATCTTTTTTCCATTGTATGGTTTTGGCATCTTTGTCAAAAATCAGGTGTCCGTAAGTGTGTGGGTTTATTCCTGGGTCTTCTGTTCGATTCCATTGATCCACCATTCTGTTTCTGTGCCAGTACCATGCAGTTTTTATAACTGTTGCTCTATAGTACAGCTTAAGATCAGGGATGGAGATCCCTCCAGAAGATCTTTTATTGTAGAGGATTGTTTTAGCAATTCTCGGTTTCTTGTAAACTGATATAAATAAATAAATACATTTTAAAAAAAGAAAAAATAATTTGTTTAAAAAAATAGAAAGAAAATGGTGTGTCTGGTCCCGTGCGATGGCTCACTGGGTGAAGGCCCTGCTGCCAAGTCTGATGACCTGAATTGGACTATCCAGTACCCAAATGGTGGAAAGAGAGAATTGACTCAGGAAAACGTCCTCTGGCCACTACATGCATGCTGTGGCAAATGTGCATGTGTATGAACACACACACACACAGAGAGAGAGAGAGAGAGAGAGAGAGAGAGAGAGAGAGAGAAAGAGTAAAGTGATTTCCAAAAATGAAGATAGCATTGTCACACCTGAGGACTAATTTTGCACTGATCTTTGCTCTAATGTGTGCCTTTGTCTTTAAGCTCGGATTCATGTCACTCTTTAATTAGATGTATTTTATTGGCATCTTCAGCAGAGTAAACAGGACAGGGCACACTGGTGGGCACACTGGTACATCTCTGAAGTACCCCAAATCTATCTTGGCTGAGAAAGACTTGGGCGTAACTTTCCTGGAATGTCATTCAAACAATTGCCCCTCCTCCATGCACCATCTTTTATGGTTTTCACCTCTAGTTGAGCGCTTTCCGTAAGGAAAGCTCCAAGGTCACATACTCTGCCCTGAGACATCTGTAACTTGCTATGAAGTTCTATTTCCTTCTGGCCCTTCCTCTGCTTATGTGTGTCCTCACTCCTGAGCACAAACATCTGCTATGCTCTGTTGCTGATAGCTCCTCAGGAAGATCCATGGAGAGGGATCTGTTGCTGATAGCTCCTCAGGAAGAACGGCTCTCACCTGTCTCCTTCTCCACACTACAAATCCCCACTATCTTCTCTGATTTTTCACTGGCAACAACTTGCTCATCTGAAAAAAAACACAGTGTGGACCTGTCTGTATGGTTCCCTTCTCTCTTCCAGAACAGTAGGCCCTCTTCTCCAGCAACAGAGCCCCAACTCACATCACATGGGCCCCAAGATGGTGCCATTTGTATACGCTCTTGCTTCTTTGGCCAACCCATTGCACAGAGGTGCAAGTGACCTCCTAACTAGGCCAGCTGGAGTCTTTTTAGGACTGGAAAATGGAAGCAAGTCAAGGTAGAAGTGGAACTCATCAGGTGGAACACATGGCAACCACATTCCCTATGTGTGGAATAGCCCAGTCTACACTCTTCCTATATAACATATACCACTGGCATTCCATTAGAAAATCTGTTTTTCTCCTACTAATTCAAGCTGCATTTCTTTGGCTCATCATCCTTGACAAATAAGGATGTGCTCCAATGTATTTTCAGCCCTTCATGGTGCTACCACAACCAAGCCAGTGTTTATGAGCAGAAGGGAGAAGAAAGGAGTGGGAGAAGGCACTGAGTCTGTAAAATTCACATGCATTCATGCTTAGTATCTTCCTAATTGTGTTCATGTAACCCTAATTTAAAGCTGCCCAGGGGTTTCCCCCATTTTTGGATGTGCCCATTAGCCAGCAGGTGTCGCGGGTATCCTGCTACTCACTGGGTCGTTGTACATCTTGATGATGAGTTGTTTCACTCCATGCAGGGTGGGATGGGCCCATGGAGAGGGATCCAGCCAGTGACGATTCAGGTCAAACCCCATCAGGGAGCATCTAGACAAAGTCCAATCTGGAGTCAGTACAGATGGGACACGCTGAGCTTCTCATACACCCAATACAGTTAAGAGGGGGAGAATCACTTACCTGTCACTTATTGTCCCTCAGACAGAATTGTAAGCAGTTTGCTAGGATTTATTAATTTAGTGCGATCAATATTTTGAGTTAAATATTATGATTCAAAATTTATAGGAGAAGACACTGAATTACAGAGATGTTCAAAAATGCTCCTTCAGCACGGTCTCACTCTTATGAACACAGGCACCGTAAACAGTGCAGGTGAAATAAATGCTCAGGCCAGAACCCCTGGCATCCCTACGTGTCCTCATTATTCCTTTGTGTTTCATACAGCACATACCCTTTCCAGGATAGACCAGGCTACAGATCAACTTCCAAAACCACTGTGCTAACTCACACTTCAAATAATCTCTGTGTGATTGTCTAGTCCATCATCCTGGCCCCATAATGAGTTTTTTCCCACAGATCTGACTATCTTGCCTTATTTATTTGTTTGTTTCTTTGTTTATTTATTTATTTGTTTATATTCACTTTACTTCCCTGTCACAGTGCCCTGCCCTTCCTCCTTTCCCTCCTTTCACTCTCTTCACTCTTTCTCCTTTCCCATCTCTCCAGCAAAGGGGAGCATTCTCAATTAACCCACCATGGCACATCAAGTCACATCAGGACTAAATGCATCCTCTCCCATGGAGGCCCAACAAGGCAGCCTAGCTAGGGGAAGCTGATTCAAAGCAAGTAACAGAGTCCATGTCAGAGACAATCACCTGCTCTAATTGCTAGGGGACCCTCATGAAGACCAAGCTTCCTATCTTGCTTTTTGAAAATATTTTATCTAGACTCGCCTGTGGCTGCTCATTGTTTGGAGAATAAAATTTTGATCTTTTCAGATTTTTATCCATGTTCAAATTGATGCTATTCATATCCTTATCACTTCTCTTTGCCCTAGAATGTCCATCCTTTTCCTTCCCTAGCCTTCCACCCCTTTAGTGTAACATAGTTTGCCAACTTAAATTTCCTGTCTATTTTCCAGGAACAGCACAATTTTATCCTCTCTCTGCATATAACACTTACATTTCCACCTATCATCCTACTTGGAAAAATAAGGACTCCGTTGGAGACATTCTTCTCCTTTAACATAATTGAGGACTTGGGACAGGAAAGAAACAATAATGATTTCTTTCTATCCTTTAAAATAAGCACAGGTGTATAACTAATGCTTTGTTATTTTCACATTTGGAGAGACACATGGAGAAACACCTCAACAAGAGGAAGCCATGGCATCTCTGAGATAAGCTGGAGACCTAAGACAGGGTTGGCTCCTGAGAGAATATGCGGGTGACTCTAGTAGTGGGGAACATGGAGACTGAAGAGGCCAACCTTGATCCAGACAGGACTCCTATTGGAGGGAAGGAAATACCAACCCATCCCACAAAAACCTCAACCCAAAATTTATCCTGCCTTCAAGATGTGCAGGGATAAAGACTGGAGGAAAAGTTGAGGGAATGTCCAACCACTGCCTGGCAACACCATGGGAAAGAGCCAACCCTGACACTATTAAAGACACTCTGCTCTGCTTGCTGACTGGAGCCTATCATGGCTGCTTTCTGAGAGGCACCACCCAGCAAGGGATGGAAACAGATGTTGAGACTCACAGCCAAACATTGGGCAGAGCATAGGAAGGCTTGTGGAAGAATAGGGGGAAGAATAGAAGGACCCAGAGAGAACAGGCACTCCACAAGAAGACCAACAGAGCCAACTAACCTGGTCCTGGGGGCAGGGGGTTGTGAAGACTGAAGCAACAACCAAGGACCAGGCATGGACTGGACCTAGGCCCCCTACACAGATGTACCCAATGGGCAGTTTGGTCTTTTGCAGGTTTCCTCATAGGGAAGTGGAGGCTGTCTCTGACCAGGACTCTGTTGCATGTTTTTTTGATCACTTCCTCTGGTGGGGCTACCTTGCCAGGCCACCTTGGAAGAAGATTCACTCAGTCCAGGTATGACTTGATGTGCTGGAATGGGTAAGTGGGGGGCGTCCACTTTTCTGAAGGGTAGGGGAGAAGGGGGAGGGGGAAGAAGGAGGGAGGTGGGACTGGGAAGAGAGGAGGGAGGGGACTACGACTGGGATGTAAAATGAATAAATAAATAAATTGATTTAAATTAAAGAACAAAGAGAAAGCCTTGTGCATTGGACTTTGTTGAAAGAGTGGAATTTTTCCTAATGTTGAGGACAGAAGGAAATGCATAAGCCAAAGAGGGAGTGTGAAACCACTCAGGATTTGAGAGACATGAAATGAGGGCAGTTTGCTTTGATTGGATAATACAGCATAAGCTAAGGGGGTAGTGATGGGGCATTCCACAGAGGGTGGTGGGGTGAAATGGAATGGGCATTGAATGCCTGGCAAGAATTTTGATTATATTTTATTTCCTCTTGTTTTATTTAGATCAAGTATTGATATTGGCCTCTCTGATTACAAAGCAAGAAAGAGAGAACCCTAAAGCTATTTACAACATAACCATCACCAAGGGACAATGCGGTATCAACTCATATTCTGAGAGCTACATACCAAGTACTAATGCTCTATCTAAATTAATCCTAACAGTAATTCTATGAGGGAAGTCTAATATTATTCTTTATTTACTAACAATAAAAATCTTTTTAAAAAATAATTTATTTTTTATTTTATGTACATTGTGTTTTGCATGCATGAATGTCTAGGTGAGGATTTCAGATTCCCTTAAACTGGAGTTAAAGACAGGTGTGAACTGTCATGTGGGTTCTGGGAATTGAACCTGGGTCCTTTGGAAGAGTAGACAGTGTTCTTTGCTGTGGAACCCTCTCCCCATTCTCCCAATAAAAATCATAGATAGTCCTTAATAAGAAAAGTAGAAAATCAAAATTTCCCTTCTGTCATAGTTGTCAACAGGCCTGATCTTGTGAAGGTCTTGTGTAGTGGTGTGATTATAATGGTAATAGTCATGTTGTATTTAGAGGATGGCCTTCTACAGCATATATATATATATATATATATATATATATATATATATATATATATATATATATATATATATATATATTTTTTTTTTTAATAAAATACAGTAGTGAACCCATTTGGGCTTAGGCATTTTTAGCTGGGAGACCCAAGATACCATTGTTGTTGTCTCCTCAGACTTTCCACCCCCAGAGCTGTGAGCCGAACAAGTGTGAATTCTTAGTAAACTACCCAACCTTCCATGTGCTGCTATAGCAACAGAAAACCAACAAAGAAATTACCCTTGAGAGACACTCTGTTAATGCTTTTTTTTTTTTTTCCGAACTAAACTCCAGCTTCTGTATGGTACTGAAAACCCTTTCCTATATGTTTATTTTCTGCTTAAGGAGTTGGAGCTGGTCTTTATTACTTTGGCTGAATGTATCCCTAACCATCTGGTCCTCTGAGCTAATTTATGGGAAATTCTAGGAAGATCCTGGATTATCCACTCCCTAGTGTCCAGTCAGCAAGCAGACAGATAACCTGGGTGCTCTGCACACCAAGGTCTCTCAGCCCTTAATGAACATCTAAGAATCCGGAAAGGAACACGTCCTTAGTAACAGTACTTGCCGGCAACCATTGCTCTACCATGCGGTTTGGCTGTGTGCCTGTTCTCTATTCCCAGCACTGTCACACCCAGGGCACCAGCTTCTTCTAGGATGCCTCTATGACCTTGGACCCAGAACCCCCTACTTGATGTCATTTTTAGACAGCTCTATTAGGATATTCTCTCAGTCATTTTTCACATCAGTCTCAGTCCTGGCCTGGCAGCTGCACAGAATGGTGAGGCTGTATGTTGGAGACTGGGGGATTTGGAACTCATAATTTGGTTTAAATGTTGGCTGTCTGCCCTATCAGCTATGACCTTTTAAAAAAAAATCTCCTTTTTAAATACCCCTTTGAGCTTCTGTTTTATCATGGGTATAATGAGGATAACCACCTGACCTTCTGGATTGTGTATATGAACTAATGTATGTAACTGCCCTGGTAGAACCCTCAGAATGGAGTGAACTAGAACAAATGATGGCTGGTGATAACAGTGGCGATGGTGATAGTGGTGGTAGCACCGTTGAAATGATCTGAACTTAAATATTATCTCCTTCAGGAGGTATGGGGGAAGATTTGCACTCCCTATAAATACGGGAGAGTTGCTTTTCCTTTGCCTCTGCAGTAAATGTGATTCCCCAGCAGTGCTGAGTCTATTCCATTGGCTCATAAATTGCTTGCATTTTTGTGCCTGCCAAGGAGCATGCGTTGTAGGAAACACTGAAGACGTAATTATTGAATGGATATTTCGGATCTTGTATAACTGTGATGAATCCAGCTAATGTAGGCAGGCTCTAGTTTCATTAAGGGCTACAGAAGACAAGCTACTCCACTGAAGCCACATACCAATAGTTCATAAGGCCTGGACTGGACTCCTGATCCTGACTCCATGGTCCACCTTTTTAGTCATGCTGCTTCCAGGGTGTCTCTTTGATTCAAAAAACTTAGACTCAAAACTGAACAAAGGGGCTAGGGGATAGTTCCAGGGTATCCACCACTCTCTTCTGACCTCATGAACACCTACATACACATGGTATACATGCAGATAGACTCACGTGCATACAAATTAAAAACAAACAAACACATCTTTCAAAAGAAAACCTATAAGGGAAGCACTAGAGTTGAGTTGTCTTGGAAGATCCACTCCCGGACCCATCCTCTTAATGGAAATAGAGTGATTGTGACTCAAAGGCAACTTCAGTCCTTAATGACCCTTTAGTGCCTTAGAAGCCAGAGCTTGTGACCCCATGATCCAGTGACTCTTCAGGGAGCTGAAGATGTGTGGGCACTTTTTGAGCTGACTTCTGAAGAATTTTTGAGCAGCAATAAGTCTCCTGGTAGTTGCGTGTTTCCAGAGCAAAACATCTTGGTAGAGATGCTTGAGACCTGGCTAGAGACAGGG